CCATGGCCGCTGAGCCTGCGCCTCCGGAGCCTGTGCTCTGCAGCGGGAGAGGCTACAGCCGGGGGAGGGCCCCCAAACACAAAAAAAAAAAAAAAAGGTAATCCGAGAAAAAGAGTAGCGCTTGTTCTGTCAGCTCAGAACTCAATTGTGTAACAGCTTTCAATGAAGACAGCCTTTGTACTTCAGTACAGAAGTGCATACTTCCTATTTCATCACACAGAATATTAAAAATATGTGTATTTTGAGCTCAAAATTTAATAAAATTAATTTTAAAAATTATTTCATCAAGGTTTTGTTTTGGTTTTGGTTTCTTACTGTGAGTGCATAACATAACGGTCAAACATACAGTTTGGTGCCACTGCCTTAAATTGTGCTTTGGAGTTAGCAGTTTTATCCCCTGTTGCTTTATGCCATCAATGCAAGTGTCAACCTAGTGAAAAAGGCAAATAACCTCTTAGTATTATTATAAACATAGTTTTGACTTTGCGGGCCCCTTAAAGGGTCATTAGAACCCCCAGGTATCTACAGACAAAGTGAGAATTATTGAACTAGATCATTCTTAAAGCCCAGCCTGACACTACTCTCAGAAATCCCAATATTTATGCATTTCTGAAGAGAAGAACCCCTTTATTTTTCTATTCCTAAATCAGTTCTCTAGGTATAATAAAATAATTTTGACCTCAACTTCAGGTCAATCATTTTAATGCTTTTAATTGGATGCTTTTTAAAAGTCTAAGTTGGTTATATTACATGTTTCTTTATTCCTTTGTACATCTATGAGAAGCAACAGCTTCTGCACAGCAATGGAAATAATCAACAGAGTGAAATGCGAGAAAATATTTGCAAACCCTGTATCTGATAAGGGGTTAACATCCAAAACATATAAGAAACTCAAACAACTTAATAGCAAAAAAAAACCAATAAATAACCAGATTAAAAAATGGGCAGGGCTTCTCTGGTGGTGCAGTGGTTGAGAGTCCGCCTGCCGATGCAGGGGACACGGGTTCATGCCCCGGTCTGGGAAGATCCCACATGCCGCGGAGCGGCTGGGCCCGTGAGCCATGGCCGCTGAGCCTGTGCGTCCGGAGCCTGTGCTCCGCAACGGGAGAGGCCACAACAGTGAGAGGCCCGCGTACCGCAAAAAAAAATGGGCAAAGAATCTGAATAGACATTTCTCAAAAAACGACATACAGATTGCCAATGGGTAATATATTATAAAAAGGTGCTCTATGTCACTAATCATCAGGGAAATGCAAATTAAAACCACAATAGGATATCACCCCACACCTGTCAGAATGGCTCTTATCAAAAAGACAAAAGATAACAAGTGTTGGCAAGGCTGTGGAGAAAACAGAACACTTGTGCACTGTCTGTGGGAATGCAAATTGGTGCAGCCACTGTGGAAAACAGTATGGAGATTACTCAAAAAATTAAAAATAGAACTGCCTAATGAACAGTAATCCCACTTCTGGATATATATCTAAAGGATGTGAAGTCAGTATCTCAAAGAGACATCTGCATTCCCATGTTCATTGCAAATTATTTACAACAGCCAAGATGTGAACACAACCTAAATGTCAACAAATGAATGGATAAAGAAAATGTGATATATGTGTATATATACTATATTATATACACTATATATTGTATGTATTATATATATATATTATATACACAATGGAATATTATTCAGCCATTAAAAAAAGAAAATCCTGCCATTCACAACAATATGGATGAACTTGCAAGACATTATGCCAAGTGAAATAAGCCAGACACAGAAAGACAAATATTGCTTGATCTCATTTATGTGTGGGATCTGAAATAGCCAAACTTGTAGAAGCAAAGAGTAGAATGGTGGTTGTCAGGGGCTGGGGGAGAGAGAGAGACAGAAAGTTGAGTATGAGGAAGTGGCTCACGGGATTATGGAGGCTGAGGAGTCCCATGATCTGCCGTCTGCAAACTGGAGACCTAGGAGAGGATAATTCAATCTGCATCCAAATGCCTGAGGACCAGGGGAGTCAATGATGTAAATCCCAGTTTAAGGGCCGGAGAAGATGAGGTGAGATGTCTCAGCTCAATCATCGAGGAAGGAAAAAAAAGGGGGGGGGGCAAATCCCTCTAAACCCTGGCTTTTGTTCTAAGAGAGAAAATAATATCTAAAACACAATACCATTTATGTAAATTAATAATACAAAATATTTCTCAAGCGAAAGTATGTGCATGTATAAACACATACTTTATAAATGTAAACATTATATAGTGGGTGCTCATGTGGGGGAGAGAATGGTAATGTGAATGAAGGTAAAAAATCATAATAAAACAAGAGAGGAGACTTGAAAAGACTAGTGATGACAGTCTGCCATGAGCATGAGAGACAGAGCAGATTTTAGAGTGAGACAGATTTCTATTCAAATTCCAGTTCTATCGCCACAGTTTCCACACATGTGAAATGGAGATAATAATAATCCTTCCTTAAAGGGCTCTCGTGGGGATTAAATAAAGTAACATCTGTGAAGCACTTGGCGTGGGGCAGGTGACACGCTCACGGCTGCAGCACTCACTGAAAGTAAGCTGGTGTCATCATCAATAGCAACAGCCCCAATATCCCATTATCATCACTGAAAACGTCTTGTTCCTCAGAATTCTTATCAGATGACGGCATATCTTGTCCAGAAATTATGTCATGATAGGCTTCAAACAATCGCTCAGGTAACAAATGATAACTGTTAAATTTCTCTGCATAGTAAAGGTGTGAAGAATTAGAAATTCTGCAGGGAAAAGTCCTGAATGGAGAAAAAGATCCAATTTGGGAAAAATTCAGAAGAAAGCCTAGAATAAGGAAGTGTGGGTGGGACATTCTTCAAGCCAAAATTTGAGCACTGTATGATATGAACCCTATGGATGATTCTAGAGATTTTCAGGGAAGATAGGACACCTCACGAATTTTGAATGCAATCAAGTTTCTTATGGAGGGACTTCCCTGGTGGTCCAGTGGTTAAGACTGTGCTCCCAATGCTGAGGGCCCGGGTTGATCCCTGGTCAGGGAACTAGATCCCACATGCTGCAACTAAAAGGATCCTGCAAACTGCAACTCAAAAAAAAAAAAAAAAGATCCTGCGTGCTGCAACTAAGACCCGGCGCAGCCAAATAAATATTTAAAAAAAAACCCAACTCAACTGCCTAAATACATGAATCACCTCCAATGACTTTAAAAAAAAAAAAAAAGTTTCTTATGGAATCAGGTGAAGAGGCTGAGATCTGTCTTCTGAGTGATAAGAAGCCAAAACAGTGTCGGCTTGTGTAGACTAAGGGACAGCTGATGGGTGCATTACATTCATATCATAGAGGTGGTGACCTGGTGCAGAGGTCAGACCTTGGGGGCAGGTTGTGAATGATGTGGGAAGGCCCACACAGGCCCCGGATGAGGCATCAGGCAGGAGGTGGGGAAGCTGGGGTCACTGCCTAGCCTGGCCCCTCCCAAAGCAGGCAGTTTATAATCTCTGATCCTGGTATCTAGTTCTCTCCCTCCCCCACTCCTGAGCACCTTATCAATTACCTCCCTACTGTTCAGACCCATATGACTCTATCTCTCTTTTATCAACACATGCTCTCAAAACAGGATCTGAAGTGACCAGCTTAATTTAAAGGCCCAATCACATTTCCCTAAGGGCCACCTGCATTTCAACAAGGACCAGCACATTAAGAGAAACTATGAGGGAATTCTCCGAGGGAAGCTTTGGGCATTAGCAAGGAAGAGGGGAAGGGACTGTCTTTAAGAGAGTTGACAGGGTCTGATAATCGATCTCCTTCCTGCCAGAGCTCCAAGGGAAGGAGATGCCCCAGTATTAAACAGCCATGGGTGAGGACAGAAGACGGTCCAAGGAGACATACTATCAGGTTGGAAAATTCATTAAGTATTTACAGGAGAATTCAGGTTCCCCATTGCTCAGGGTATGATCACATGGCTTGGAAAGCACAAGCAGTAGAGTTGGGAGGACGGTTCTGAGAAGCTTCTAAGGGGCTGTTGCAGTGACTTCTCTAACACAGGTAAGGACTATTAGAACTGGGGCATGGTTGGGGACAGATGAAAGGAAGGAAGGCACAAGTGAGTGGAGATGCTATAGGGTGAGAGCACTGGGATGGGTAGGAAAGAAGTGTTTTCTAATTTCTGAAGGTTTAAGGTTTCAGGAAGGGAGAAAGGGGAAACATAACATTTCTATTCTTGACTGTGACACTGTAAGACAGTGACAGAGAAGGTGGTTGGTGAGTCATGCTTTTCTATTCACCCATGGGAGGATGTGAACCCTAGGTGCACGCACACAATCCAGTGTCAACCTCACTAGGCCTCACACCAATGTCTGTCACCAGGAAGTGAGCAGAATAAACATCCTGGGTGGACCTCAAGGACATGAAGATGTCTTTCTCAATTGAGGCTTATGGAGCCTGCTGGAGGATGGGGAGGAGGTGGGATGGGAGTGGGATGTTTTTGGGAGCCTGAAGGTGGCAGGGTCACCCGCCAGAGTCTGGGGTTCTGTGTGGCTTTCGTGGGCTGAAAAGGGCACACTCTGCTCAGCAGGCCTTCTCTACAGGAGCTGGGGCTGGCCTGAGATGTGAGGTGGCTTCAGGGGGTGTAGGTGGGACAATGTTTGGTGCTTGGGACACCTGAGAGTTGACACGTATCCAGCCTGTCTCCTGCTCTCTCCAGTCCACCGTCTTCAGGAATTAGAAATGGGTGGGAGAAGCAGCAGTGTCTCCGAGTATTCAGTGGTCAGCACTGGCCATCTTCTCTCTCTCTCTTCCCCCATCCCATGCCAGTGCATCCCCATTGGTCTGCAGCTGCTGCTGGCAGATCCATCATGTGGGAACTGACAGCCCTCCTGCTCCTGGGTGAGTCCTCAATGAGGTAACAGCGGCATAAGGACTTTGGGTGTGGGGAAGAGTGGGGGCCAGGGTATTTCTCTCTCTCTCTCTCTCTCTCTCTCTCTCTCTCTGTGTGTGTGTGTGTGTGTGTGTGTGTGTGTGTGTGTGTGTGTGTTGCGGGAATATTCAATCCTCGATTCGTTATCTATCTTTGGAGAGGAAAAGAGGAAGGGGCTTTCTGACAGCTGAGAGAAATAAAGGCAGAAGAAAAACAGGTCTTGAGACTTGTTGAATCCTTCCTATGGTCAAGAGAGTCCCTTTCTTTCCTCTCATCTCCAACATTCTCCTTCTTGTTTCTTTATTTCTTGTTTTGCAGTTCCAAGCAGTGGGCAAGCTGGTGAGTCTTACACATCCCTCATCCAGATTTTCTACAACTTCCACTCCAACCATCCCAAGTGACCTGCTTGAGTACTCCCCACTTCTTAGCCGTTCTGGGGTAGTGACTCTTCTCATGGCTCCTCAATCCCAGTGACTCAGTTTGCCTGTAGGCAGTGGCACTTAGAAATGGCCCTGACCAGGAGACTAGTTTGTAGCCCAATGTGGTCTCTCCTCTCACAGGGATGGGTCCTGGAAGCTAGCGTTTTCTGAGATTTCCCAACATCAGTCCTCATCTTTGGGCACCTCACCTTGATTCTCTTTTTCACATTGCCCCCTCCCATACCCCACCCTCCCAGCTACTCTGGAGAAGCCCATATTGTCTCTACACCCACCCTGGACCACAATCTTCAAGGGGGAAAGGGTAACCTTGCGGTGTGATGGGTACCACCCTCTGCTCCTGGAGCTCCGACCCATCAGCACTCTCTGGTATTTGGGCCACCTACTCCTGCCCTCTCACAAGAAGAGCATCGAGGTGCAGACACCAGGAGTGTATCGATGCCAGACACGGGGAGCACCTGTCAGTGACCCCATCCACCTCTCTGTATCCAATGGTGAGTATTTGAGCATGGGGGAGGGGCAGCACACATGTCCTCTGGTAGTGATGGCCCTCCTGTGGGGGAGGACACTGGACCACTCCCATTGGGCCAGGAAGGAGGGGGTTATATTGAGTCTCTGGGGGCAGGCAGGGACCTGCTTAGCACTATGTGAGAGATGCAGTAAGCCCTGCGTGGCCCCAAAGGTCCCCTTACCATCCTGCCACAATGGACACTAAATAAACATTTCTGTTCATTTAGTAGCTCAGAAGAGAAGAGGCTCCAAGGACCTGGTATACTGAATAGAGAACTTCTGAGGAGGGCGGTTGGGTAGGGAGAGAAAGGGCAAAGCAAAGCAGGAAAAGTGAGGGTCCCTGGGCAGGCTGCGTGCAGCTGGGGGAATTACTCCTGCTTGAACAGTGTGATGCTTCTCTGTGCCTCCCACCACTAAAATACGGCCAGTGATAGTATCTATTTCTTTGGCTGTCGTGAAGATTAACAATGAATTATGATAGGTTTTCAAAGAAAAAAGCAGATGAAGAAAGCACTTCAGCAAAATTTTATTATAGATACGTACACACATACATAAGAGTCAATTAAGAAACTAATTCCCTGGGGGATAAAGGATTTCCAAACAGGGTAAGAGAAATAACAGTAATTTGTTCATTAGGGCACAGGATTGGCTACTTTGTAGGGAATATTATGTCATTTTAGCCTGGTAGAGGCTATATTTTGTGTTCAGAATTTAAAGATCATCACTCAGTGTTCAGATTAGCACTTATACGTCACATCCAAACTCTGTGGTTTTTTGTTTGGAAATTGATAGACGGTAGTCACTGCTTGCAGAACTGTGAGTAGCACAGAGACTGTGGCTATCACTTGCGGAATTCTTTCTCGATGGAAAACACCTAAAGTGGCATCTAGCAGACACTAGGGCTATGTGAGTGTTGGCTATGATGATGATGGTGATCAGGTACATAAGGGTGCTGGGGGAGGTGCCTAAGTCTGGGGGTGGGGTCAGGTAAGTTTTCTCAAGGAGACAGGATCTAAGCCCAGATCTGCAGGATAAGTAGGCCTCAACTACAGCAGGTGAAGGGGGTCTTCTTGGCAGGTACGAAGCCTCTGGGCTCAGAGCAGGGCCAGTTCTCCCTGCAGTCCAGTATGCATGGACTTAGCCTGCATTAGGAATGGAAGGTGGAGAGAGAAAAGGAGACATGGGGCAAGGGAGAATCCTGAGATGGTGCTGCAAAGGTAGGCAGGGGCCGGGTCAGGAAGGCCCTGATACCATCCTAAGGAGTTTAAACTGGATTCTGATGGGCATGACTCTGAGGCTGGAACCAAGTCTCAGGCATCTTTGTCTTCTTAGTACCTCTTAAGAGGCTGGCCTTCCCCTTTCCTTCCCACTCACCTTCTGATGCTTCTTGTTCTGAGGCTCCAGGGGTGCCCAGTAAGGTGGGAGGGAGTTGGTGAGGAGGAAGGGGGAGGAGGGGGGAGCAGGGAGGCGGAGAAGTATGGGAGGCCCCAAGGGCTGGACTTTCTCTTGGAGTCTGTCTGTGCTGACTGTCGTAGACTGGCTGATCCTGCAAGTACCCTATGCTGCGGTGTTCGAGGGCGAGCCGCTGGTCATGCGCTGCCGCGGTTGGTACGACAAGGTCGTCTACAAACTTCACTACTACCACGATGGCCAACCCGTGCGCTACTTCCACTCCAGCGCCAACTACACGGTGCCCCAGGCGCGCGCCAGCGATAGCGGGCGCTACCAGTGCTCCGGCACCATGCGCATCCCGGTGGAGAGCGCGCCCATGTTCTCCGCCAAGGTGGCCGTGACCGTGCAAGGTGGGGGAGACTTGGGGCCGGGGAGGGAGGCAAACGAGCCCTGGGGAATTCTGGGACAGAAACCAGGCGGGGAAAGGAGGGGCGGAGGTTACAGCAGCTGGCACATAGCTGATTTCTCTGCGGGACCAAGTACACGTTCTCCCCTCCTCCTCCTCAGTGAAGCCGCCCTTGATCTGTAGCCTGCGTGGGGGCAGGTGTCCCTTCTCCCCGATACACATCCAGCTTCTTACTCCGGGTAGAGACCCCCATATTGGGGGCAGCTCTCTCCGCAGCCCCAGCCAGAAAGACAGCGGCAGTAGACGGGATCACTGTGGCACTGGGGCGAGGGAACTGCTCCTGAGCGTCTTGCGAAGCAGGCGCAGCGAGCCCCCTCTAGGCTGGAGAACCCGAGCTGGGTGTCAGTCGGGAGGTGACACGAAGCGTCATACCTGGTCCCGCCTCCTTTCAAGCTCTCCCCTCCCTCGTGGACTGGTTCCCCACATTTCAAAAGACTTTCCTCCCTCCACGTGTACACACAGCCTCCTCGCTGGTCGGTTACGGGCCCTTGTGGGAAACCGGGAGAGGGGTCGTGGGACCGTGGACCAGCCGGACCTGGTTCCCTGGGACCCTTGCGCCGGCCTCAAGTGCATCCTTAGCCTCTGGGCCTCCTCTCCGCAGAGCTGTTCCAGGCGCCGGTGCTGAGGGTGATGGGCCGGGTGGACGCTCGCGGCGCGGCCCTCGGCGGAGTGGCCTTGCGGTGCGAGACGCTCCTGCACCCTCAGAAGCGGGACACGCCGCTGCAGTTCGCCTTCTACAAATACAGTCGCGCCGTGCGCCGCTTCGACTGGGGCGCCGAGTACACCGTCCCCGAGCCCGAGGTCGAGGAGCTGGAATCGCACTGGTGCGAGGCTGCTACCGCCAGCCGCAGCGTCCGGAAACGCAGCCCTTGGCTGCAGCTTCCGGGGCGGGGTGAGTGACTGCCCTTCCGGAAGCCCACCCGGGCGGGTAGCCCGGCGTCCGCCCCTCTGGAACGCTCGTGTCGCCGGCCCCCCTCTTTTCCCC